TGCCCAGCAAGTCTGTGAGCCCCCCTGTGCATAGGCCACCAATCAGCCATCAGATCATTTTCTATCACTATAAACCTGGACTGATTTTCTACTCCAATCCCCCGATTCCCACATCCATTTAGTCACTGGCCTTCTTCCTTTAGAATTCATCATCAATTTGCACTATCATCCACACTCTTCAGAGCTATGCAATAAGGAATCAAAAATCAAGTCTGTGAGCCCCCCTGTGCATAGGCCACCAATCAGCCATCAGATCATTTTCTATCACTATAAACCTGGACTGATTTTCTACTCCAATCCCCCGATTCCCACATCCATTTAGTCACTGGCCTTCTTCCTTTAGAATTCATCATCAATTTGCACTATCATCCACACTCTTCAGAGCTATGCAATAAGGAATCAAAAATCAGACTCGAGACAAGATGTAAACTCTTAAAGCAAGGATAAAAATCTCTGTTTTATGAATTACTTATGGCAAATGAGAAATCTTCAACTTCATTGTACGTAAAGTTCAAAGCAGATTTATAGAATCAAACACTTCTACTCCACTGTGCACAAAATTCAAACAGCAGATTTATAGGGTCAAACGCTTCTTAGTCAGCTATTTACGAACAATAATTCTGGGTGTGGGCTTTTATCTTGATCTCTGCAGAGGTTTTCCTCTTATGCAGAACACCTTGGGAGGTGTAACTACTAGACTCACTGACTGAAGGTCCCTCTCAGCCTAGATCACTGCTGCTCCATTTACCCTACTGAAGGGTCAGCGAATCCCTGGTCAGTGACATCTGTTGCATATCTATTAATGTTTTGGAACTTCATAAAAGACCTGTTAATGGGGGGTCAGTTGAGAGATGCAAAATCTCCCATAAATATTTCTACATTAGAATCATGTACACCCATTTATACCTATCTGGAGATTATCACATAAACAGTGCAGATTGTAAATCCGGTCTCAAGAGTCCTATTCATCAAAACACGCAATCCATCCCAGGAGAAAACTGTTCCTATGCAAGACAAAAATAAGTCTGTTAACTCCAAGCTGTTAATATAACTTGTTAATATAAAATCTTACTGCTTGTCTAATTTGTTGGATACGGGATTCCTGAAGGAATCTAGTCACTTTAACGTTCAGTGCAAAGATGGGGACTGTTCTCTGTGCGTGGTCTAGACTAATGAAGAAAGCTCTTTGTGCAAAGAAACCTTTTAAACAACCTACAGTAAGCTCATCACAGGGGCATCAGGAGGCATGAAACAAATACCACTGGAGAATGTCTATTGTGGTCAATACCAGACCTTTACCAATCAGCCATCAGAAAAGATAGAATGCTCTAGTTCAGAAGCATCTGGAAGTCGTATC